AAAGATAAATATGACCTCCAATTCTACTACAAAGCTGTCCGAGAGTACTTTAAGCAAGAAATAGCAGAAAACGTCAAAGAAGCTGCCAGATCAGATATACAAATTAAATTTGTCTACTACATGCCGTATCACGTAGTAATCAAGAAAGACCGAACAACAACAAAGATACGGATTGTCTTTTACGCATCGTCAAGCCAGAACCCTGGAGAATCCCTGAATGACAACTTGGAAAATGGGCCATACCTTAACCTCGACATCACAAGTTTGCTGATGAACTTTCAACAGCACAAGATTGCCTTGTCATTCGATGTGTAAAAAGGATTTTTACAAATCGGAATACACGAAAATGACCCAGACGCCTTGCGATTTTTGTAGTGTGAAAAGATACCTAGCGAAAAACTAGGTAGCAAACCCGAAGAGTAGCAAACCCGAAGATAAGAACATGGAGAATGACGAGGGTAACATTTGGCAGCACACGAAGTAGCTTTCTTCTAGCGGCAACAATTCATCGACGTTTGGACAAGTTCGAAGAGAAATATTCTGCAGTTATGATGCAACTCCGTAAAGGAATTTATGTTGATGATGTCTTACTAGGAGCCGACGAATACTCAACATTGGCAAAGCTGTACAAAGAAGCAAGGGACATTTTTCGTAGTGCAGGAATGAATTTAAGGAAATTGACTACAAATAACGCTGAACTAAGAAAACTACTTGATGAAGGAGGAGAAGATTTAGATCGAGCAATCAGAAAAGATGCACAAATTAAGGTTTTGGAACTGAAATGGAATTTCATCGACGACGTGTTGAGCTTTCCCGACACCACATGGTGAAAGGACATGGATATGAGACAACTCTCAAAACGACAAGTTCTGCAAGCTATGGCAAGGCTATGCGACCCTTTAGGTTTTTTGACACCATTTTCAGTTAGTGCAAAATATTGCTGCAGAAAATTTGGATGGCGAAACTGAAATGGGACGACCCGTTGCCAAGCCAGCACCGATCAGCTTGGAAGGACTGGTCGGAGGAGCTTCAGCACTTAGATGACTTCACCATTAGCAGATGCTATGACAACAACATGTAAGCTTAAATGAAAGCATCGACTTTACATGTGTTCTCTGATGCAAGTCCAATGGCGTAGAGAGCAGTACATTGTAACAGAATACTCTGATGGAAGCAATGAAGCCAGCTTAATAATTGCTAAGATAAAGTCGCTCTAATCAAAAAGATTGCCTTAGCAATAATGAAGTTGTCGGCTGCCACAATATCAGTCAGATTGGCCAGTCATATAACTGAGAATTTCACCAGAAAAGTAAAGAGCATTAAATTATGGACTGACTCTTGAATTGTACTATGCTGGATAAAGTCAAACAAGATGAAAGATCTGTTTGTTCACAATTGTGCAGCAGAAATCAAGAGCAAGTCCAAAGAGGATCAATGGAGCTATGTTAAAAGTGACGAAAATCCTGCGGATTTGATGACAAAGGGCATGAAAATGAAACGTTTATTGAACAGTGAATTATGGTGGAAAGGCCTCACGTGGGTGAAGAACGAAAAACAATAGTCTGATTATGAAATCGCGATAGAAGCGGACAGAGACAACAACAAATACAACGAAGAGACCGTGGCAAGCTTAACTACCACCGCGAGTCAAAAAAAAATAATTGATGTGAACAGGTTCAGATCGTACAAGAAAGCATTAGAAGTTACAGCAAGGCTAATGCGTTACATTGGAAGTATAAGAAGAAAAAGGAAAATAGGTTCTTTTATAGGGGAAGAAATGGACCAGGCAAAGTTTGTGCTGATATAGCAGGAGCAGAAGACGTTACAAAATGCAGTGACACGAATGTATGACAACATGAATCTGTACGCCACGAACATCTTCGAAGACAGTCAAGGTGTCCTACGAGTGAAAGGGAGGCTTCAGTGGAGTGATTTGAGCTTTGATGAGGAGCATCCTATTGTTTTGCCAAGAAAAAGTCAGTTGCCAGAACTCTTAGTTCTTAATGCGCATTAAGTGACAATGCACGGTGGCATTGCAGCAACATTGACACATTTAAGAACGAGGTTTTGGATTGTTCGTTGTCGACAGATGGTGAAATAACTTATAAAGAAATACATCACATATAGGAGGTTCGATTCCAGACCAATGATGCAGGAAACTTCATGGCTACCGGCTGACAGGATAACACAGACGAGGCCATTCAACATAGTTAGTATAGACTGTGCTGGACCGCTGAATGCTCGAGAAGAGAAAGGCAGCAATATTGCAAAGTTCTACATTGTGATATTTACATGTGCAGTAACAAGAGCTGTACAACTAGAGTTGGTCAAGAGGATTTCATCAAAAGCATTTATACAAACATTCCAAAGATTTTTAGCTAGAAGAGGATTGTGTACAACAATTTACAGCGACAATGCAAGAGTGTTCAAGAAATCTGAGAAAGAGATAAAGAATATATTAAAGATGGCAGATGAAATGGTGCAACAGTATACCAGTAACGTGAAAGGGAAATGGAAATTTATTGCAGAGTTAGCTCCATGGTGGGGAGGACTTTATGAAAGACTGATCAGAAGCTTTAAGACGTCCATGGCGAAAACTATAGGAGCTCGACGTATGGATGAAGAAGAACTGCAGACTAACAACCGGCCTTTTACTTATGTGTATGACGATCCTAACGAGCCCCAACCCATCACACCAGTGGATGTTATAGGAGGCAGGCGAGCAATTAAGAAGCAGGAAGACAACAAACTTGGAGAATACAGTTTGCTGAATTACCGGAGTGCAAGAAAAGAGGCCATGATAACATGGTGTAACAAATGGGAAAGGGAGTACCTGAGGGAGCTTAACGGTGCTAGGGGAAGAACAGAAGCTCACACAACTATACAAGGAGATGTACTTCTGCTTGGAGAAGCGCGAAAAAGAACACAGTGGCAACTCTGCAGGGTCTAAAAGATTTTCCCAGGCAAGGATGAACGAGTGAGAACATGCTTGCTTCGGACATCTGAAGGAAAACTGGTCAAGAGGCCGATTCTACTGCTGTATTCACTCAAAGGCTGCTTTGGTTGAATCTGGCCGGCGGGAAGATGTAGAAAACAGATTGAAGCTGGAGCGCGGAGGCAAGGAAGAAGAGGTTGGCCAGGCGCATGCTCTGTACATTTTTTTAGGTTCGAGTTCTGTCAACAATAAACGAAGACGTATCGAATCTGCGGTCTCTCTGGTCCTTTCGAAATATACACTTGTTCGTTCATTTTGAATACTTCGAATTTTTCCGCAACTCGAATTCGAATCGAACTGTATTCAAATGCAGCGATATTTGTTTGAATATTCGAAGCATTTGAATATTTGCACAAGCCTTGTCATAAAGCATTCTGGAAGGTAGCAAAACTAGATAAGTCGTGGTGTTAGAAAAGATAATGTGCTAATTATAGCTTATAGCAATCTGATGTAATTGGCATATCATTTATTCAATCTGATGTAATTGGCATATCATTTATTCACAGTTATGTGTAATGGAAAAGCTATTGGCACTGCCTTGCCAATAGTAATAGAAGATGCATTCATGAATCCAGTTTTTGCATTTTGTGTCACATGTAGAGTGCTATATTGTGCAGTAACAAAGGAGAAGAAGATCGCTATCCTATGTGCATGGGAACTGGCACAGTGCTTTGAACAGTACTGCATGAGGCTAATGTGTTGCAATGCAGTATGCAGTGTGTGCTAGTTATTTCTCATCAGTGCTGCACTTCATAAATGTCTATATTACCGATAGGGTCAGAAGTTATGTTTGAAATCTAAAAGAAAAAAAAAAGTATTGAAGGCCATGCTCACTTAAACTAAGGATATGACATATTTGGAAACTAAGGATATGACATATTTGGAAACGATAAGTCTCTTTGGTGAGCCTGCTCAGCATTTTGGGGCATATTTACATTCAAATGATTCCAATGACAGGCAGATTGCCCCTATCCCTCAAGAGGAAAGTATATAACAGCTGCATCTTGCCGGTACTTAGCTATGGAGCAGAAACCTGGAGACTTACAAAGAGGGTTCAGCTTAAATTGAGGACGACGCAGCGAGCAGTGGAAAGAAAAATGGTAGGTGTAACCTTAAGAGACAAGAAGAGAGTAGAGTGGATTAGGGAACAAACGGAGGTTAAGAATATCATAGTTGAAATCAAGAAGAGGAAATGGACATGGGCCGGGCATGTAGCGCGTAGACAGGATAACCGCTGGTCATTAAGGGTAACTAACTGGATTCCCAGAGAAGGCAAGCGGGTTAGGGGGAGACAGAAGGTTAGGTGGGCTGATGAGATTAGGAAGTTTGCGGGTATAAATTGGCAGCAGTAAGCACAGGACCGAGTTGACTGGCGGTACATGGGAGAGGCCTTTGTCCTGCAGTGGATGTAGTCAGGCTGCAGGACTACGTCCTAATTCTAATTTAAACATTACTTTGAAAGTGTTGCTCATCTACTTCTGATTTCCTTGCTGACTGGAACATTAAGCACTTTTTGAAAGGCGTGAATTTGAGATTCAGAGGACTTCTTGATAAGTGAACATGAAAGGGTTTCATTAACTAAAAAAACTGGGTCACTTATTTGGCAGTTAATTTATTCTTAATATCTCCATTATATATTCTATAATGAAATGAAGTACATGCACTAAAATGAGGTATATAGGATAAATGTTCTGTCAAGACAGCGACTGCATTAATTTGCGAAGGGTTTCTTCATATGATGCTATGGGCTTTTTAGGAAGCTGGGTCGGCAGTAGTGTCATGCGCTTTGATGGCTTGTTGGTTTTCTCAAGAGCAGTGCTGATGAAGAGTACTTCCATAGATGGTTAGTGCTTCTAAGACTTCATTTTCAAAATGTGGAAATCAGCCCTGTTCGAAATTATGGTTTTCTTGAAGCTGTTTAATGCAGTATTAAAACTTCTGGAACACTCGAGCGCAAACGATGATGTATAGCTCAATGTGTGTGTTCTTACCATATCTTCAACAGACACAACTGGCAGAGCTGCAGGCTGAGGTTATGGAAAGGCTAGAGGGGATCTCCAACAAGCTGAGTGCAGTTGAGACACGCTACTCCAACCTTGGGGACAAGATCCACAGTCTTACAACAATGCTACAAACACCAGCATCTGCTGGGAGCTCTGCCAGTACACCCTCTAGTGAGACAAGGTGAGAGAGCAACTGTTTGCAGTCCTGCGTTTGAGTGGTTGTACCTTCGGTCACCAGTGCAGCAAATTCTGTATACAAGCATAGAACAGCTTTATATAGTACCACTGTGACAGGCAGCAATAAATATGTAAGTAAAAAAATTAACTAAAAGTAAAACTGAAGCTTTTTGACGAGTTTTTATAACCTTCAACTCAGCATTATTTTTTGTCACATGTGTACACCACAGGCTTTAAATTTCCTAGTTATTATAATTGTTGCTAGGGGTCCACAGCAGAAAAAGAAGACTTGTACCTGCTATTTGAAAAGTACGGTTTTGCTTAGTTGAGTGGTTGGTTGCAGTCACTTGCTGAGAACATTTGTGGTACATTTACATTTGTTGTACATGTGTGTAGTTTGAGCCATATTTAGTTCTAAAGAGGCCTCCTGTGGGTCTTGGCCATCACATTTATTTTTGCTGCTCATCCTCTCATTACGACAAATATTTTTAGGGAGTAAATCTTGCCTTTGGTTGGAAGATGCACTTCTGGTCTCAAGAGTAGCCTATAGTCTGCTCTGTGGAGCTTGCAGAGCAAGGGCGAGTCATCGTTGAAAAGTCAAGAGCTTGTTATAAGGTGCAACACTATTGGTATAGCCTGTATCCTTCCACATGTGTTGTCATCATTTACTTAAAGTTACGAGCTTCACTACGAACCGGCACACAGATTATACAGCAGTTTTAGGTGGTTTTTTTTTTTACTATTTTCAAAATCTCGAAAAAAAAGAAAGACAACTAAGGAAGCAGCCCAAGGAAATCGGTGTGGAAGAGACGAACATGAAAATTAATATGGTGCATGATATGTATAGATAGAAAAATGCATTTTTAGGATTTGGTTTACTCTTGCCTTGCTATAAAATTGGGAATTATAAATTAAAGGCCAGGCAAATACTGGTAAAGTTATGCCAATACAGAGTGTTAGGGTAGCAAACAACTAAAATATGTGCACTGCATAGTGATAAATGACCTTGGAGAAATCCCAGCAGTGTTTTTTAATAATATCTCTTCTTTTTTAGGGCCAGTATGCCTGCCTGTGCATCATCACCAGCTGGTGGAACTGGTGAGCTTTATTTTGCTTGAAGAAATATCTGCTTTTCATAGTAATTTTCTTATGCATTAAAGGAGTACATACCGGTACACAGAATTTTGTTAAAATATTTTTGCTTTATTAGTTAGACAGCTGCTTGCTTCATAGCTTTGGTATGAGGCCTAAATTCAATAATTACAATCAACATTAAATTTTTCTGGCTTTTTAGGACTACAAAATTCTTTTAAAAGTTGTGTATGAAAGTAACTAATGCATGCCTTTTTACTGTCCTTAGGAGCTCAAATCTCTGTAGCACTTGTGAAGCAGCGCCGAAGGCCTGCTGCTATACTTTTTAGGTGTCTTTGTGCTTGTACAGCAAAAGCTCATTAATTCAAACTTGAAGGGGACTTTAAAATTGTTTTAATTAAGCGGAGTTTGAATTGGCAGGTGGGCAGTAAAATGAACAGACATTGCGTCACACTGCGTGGGCGAAACCCGAAGAAGCCACTTATGGACTCGTTATTGCGAATGAGGTGACACTACATGTTTGTGGCAGCTGCAGATGATTTCATAAATTGAGTTCATGCAGCCTTAACAGCAAACAGAATTAATTGAACAGTCAGTGATGTGCCAGAAAGAAAGCGATTTCATGTGAGCAGTGAACCGTAATGTTGAAATACATGATGCTATTTTTGCTCTAACATGTTCAATTAATCAAACAAGTGCTGCCGCTTGTTTTGCATCTCTAGTAAATTTGCCCCGCCGCGGTGGTCTAGTGGCTAATAGCCCTGTCACACGTGGCAACTTAAGTATACACTTTGAGCGTGTGTACTTACGCTCATGAAGTGTCATTTTGGTGGTTCGCTGCTACACAAGAAAGTGAATTGTACTTTCGAAATGATGGCAGTGGCATTTGTAGCACACCGTATATTTGTTATTTTTGCACCTGTGTCTCATCGTCGGACCATGTTGTCTTTGGGCAAGTAGCATTAGCAGCACACGCTATCGTAAACGACTGAAGAACGACTCGCCTACCATGTGCAAGTGTGCCTGGAAGTAAACAACGCGGCAATAGCAGCCATTGCACAGCATGTGCTGCCGCATCGCCCTAGCGGACGTGGCCGCAAACTTCCCGACGATTAGAGTAGTGAGGTTTCTTGTGGTATTTTATGACTTGTTTTAATACATATCAGTATTCCTCAAAACAAAAGCAATGGTTTAAAAAGAGTATGAGTGCCGCTTTAGGCAACAGCGTATTTATGTACAAGTCGCTGATACCAACGCTACACACTTCGTCGCAGCTGTCACAGCGAAATGAGGTTAGCGAACACACTTACCGGCAAGTGTACTTTGCCGCGAGTGACACTAAACTTTCTCGTATCACAGTGTGCAAATGACACTCGTGGCGAAGTGTACTCGCTCAAAGTGCACTTAAGTTGCCATGTGTGACGGGTATAAGGTACTCGGCTGTTGACCGGTAGGTTGCGGCATCAAATTCTGGCTGCGGTGGCTGCATTTTCGATAGATGCGAAAATGCTTTAGGCCCGTGTGCTCAGATTTGGGTGCACATTAAAGAACCCCAGGTGGTCGAAATTTCCGGAGCCCTCACGATGGCGTCTCTCATAATCATATGGTGGTTTTGGGACGTTAAACCCCACACATTATTATTGTATGCATCTCTAGTAAACTTGGTTTGGTTTGGTTTTCCATTCATCACATTGGGATCACTATGGGTCGACATTTACATATTTTGCACGATACATTGCTATAGTAATGCTGTTTGTATATGTTTAAAACATATTCACTACATCCAAACCTCGTTATAACAAAGTGGAATCTCACATGAAAATAAGTTCGTTATATTAAAAAGTTCATTCAAAGGTATAGTATTTCTAACTGTAGCTAATGCAAGACTACTCTTCGTTTATTTTGTTATAAGCAATATTTCGTTATATATGGGTTTGTTATATTGAGGTTTGAATGTATATATATATATATATATATATATATATATATATATATATATATATATATATATATATATATATATATATATATATATATATATAGGAAGTGGTTACCACCAGACCATATAATGATAAAAATAGCCTCATTAAAAACGGTTTGTAAGTTCTAAGACATTGAATGCTCTGTTTAGTGGTGCTGTTATGCATGCGAAAGCCAGGGGCATTCATCTTGCTTATGGAAGCCTGCATGACTAGGCTGTTTTCAAAGAGCTGGCACTTTCTTCTGCTCTGTGTATACAAAAACTTCGTGAGGGATATAGGCCCAGTATTGTGAACATAGTGACCCATGTTGTGGGCCATGTTGGCTGTGGAGAACTATGATGTAATGTTTTCTAGGAAATTTTTCGTTCAGTAATTTAAGTGCACAATAGCTTCTGCATATAGAGGGCGCACTGGTTGTCTTCTTTATAGCTTCACACAAGCATTTTGTATATATAGTACCAGAGATTTGGCAACTGACAACATGAATCGCTTTAAGACCCAACTTTCAGTTATGAACCAGCATCCCAACTTTCAGTTACGATCAAGTTTTGAGCATGTGCTGGTCTTGTCGTGGTTCAACCATATGTGCAGCTTGTGACTAATCTTGTAGCTTTGTTGAATGTAGCCTCAAGGAGAAGTATGTGTTCTGTGCTCAGTTATTCTGTATTGTGCATCCTGTACAAGGCTCTTGGACACTTCTGTTGTGCAAACACACACGCTGCTGCACCAGCATCTTAGAAGCAGCTGAGGATGACAGTGTTGGCCAGTGGCAGTTGCAGGTTACTGTGGCATGTCTTTCAGTGCTGCCATATATTTATTACCCAGGGTGGATCCAGTCGCTCATTTGGGGGGGGGGGGGGGGGGGGGTTGCCTGAAGTAGCACCAAAAAGGGGAGCGTGGTCATCACTTCTTTGAGTTTAATAGCAGAAAAACCCTTTCATAGCATAAATACTCTGAATGCGTGCTCACATTGGTTTCACTCATTTTTCCTAATTGGTGATAGGAGGTGGACTACAAGCACAGAAGTGAGGAATGGGGGTTATTAGGACTGAGGTCCGACAGCATACCATCTCTGCTGCCAGTCATTGCGGCTTGGGTCCGGCAGGTCTCGTCGTTGGTAGCTGGCCGCCGCCATCGAACCCGTTTAGCCCATCTTGCAGGGAGGAAAGCGCGTTCTTCAGGAGATATTTACAGAGGTTTATTTTACATTATTTACAAGCGAGGGTTTCTCGCCACTTGACGAACATGTAAACGAAGATGTCGCCCTACATGGTGACGATCTCGTCGAAAGCTCTACATAGAAAAGCATCAGCACTGCTTCGAAGAAGCACAAGAAGCAGCCCGCGAGGGCTGATTATAAACAGTCTCCTTTCCCCGATCCGTGGATCAGGGAAAGGGCGCCAAATCACACTGTCCAATCACCTGTCACACAAAACATGCGAGGGTGACGCGCACACACTGCCGAGTAAACGTCCAATATTGAGGCTTGGTCGCTGCAGTGCACTGTGTCACGAATGTGGCTCTTTATCATGTGCGTCCCTCTGGGCGAGGGGTCCCGAGCTCACGACAGCATACATCTAAAGGGCCACCGTAACCAAGCTCAAGAGGGTCTGTCGAACTGCTTGCTCAAATAGCGGGGGGACTTGCGGCTGCCGCCGCTGTCCCTTCCAAGGAAGATGTTGCCACTGCATAAACCCTTGCCTTCCTCTCGCGAAACGGCCTACGCCGTCGTGGTGGCACGATGCCTCATCCTCCAGCCAGGAGAGACAGTACATGGCAAATATAGACTGGCAGTTGTTCGGAGACTAGTGCGAGGTTCAAAAAAACACCGCTTCCTTGTTAGCCCAGGTGCCGTACTTAACAGCTTCTCCGCCGGGGAAGAAAAATCCCGAGATACAGTGTCCAGCAGGTACTGTGTAGAGGGATCTGTATGGCAGCCTGTCGGCTCGTCCTCCCCTACTCTTGACCTGAACAGTAGGTTCGATGATCACATCACTGCAAAACCCTAGAGAACGCCGCACGCAGGGATGAGGTGACCTCCTCCGTCATCCTACCTGCACATGACAACATAAGCACCTGCGAAAACTGCACCGAAAACACAACCACAAACCAGCAAGCACACGTCAGTCCTCCACTAAAAAACCACCAGGCTTAGCTCCACTCGTGATAGCCTTTTCCTATATCTTAGTATTAATTCTGTGTCCTTGCCATCGCAACACTAAAAGCAGACACTTTTGAAAGCATGTAAGAGCTGTAAAACAGACACACTCAGTGGTCCTTCCAAAAAACTAAAAAAGAATTCAACGCACCAGCCGGCCGGAAGCAAGAATCGACTTGGGGCTCTCGTTATATTAGGGCAACGACTTGGTCATTGATAATAAAGAGAAGCTTGCACCTGACCCTATCGATCCAAAACATTGCGCCGCCAAAGCTAAAACTGTCCCAGTGGGCAGAAAATATAAAATCTGGCATGCTGCCCCATCAGGAACGCTGTTCACAACCGACATCTGTAACGACACGTACTAGTGCCATAAGCATCTACTCAGTGGTTGTGTGATTATTCTAGCTGTGCTTTTCTCGGTCTGCATTCTCACCAAACAAGTCAGCAACTCCCGTGATAACTTTATTTTAATCGCCTCTATACAAAACACATACGGAAAAAAAAACAGTAAAGAAATGAAAACAACTTTGGCATGGCTCTTCTCAAAACTCACACAAAGCATAGCTTCACTCCTTTTTTTCCCCGCAAGCTTTTGGCTTCAACTCTAACGTTTTTACTATTCAACTAGTGGTACACTGACCTGATATTTACATGCGTCTACACATGACATGTAACGGAAATGCCATAAACTCTTTTCCAGGTCAGCTGTCGTCATCTTAATTTCAGGGATCTCATCTCACTAGCCTTGGAACTCTCTGTAATGCGTGTCGCTATCCTTCTAACAGATATATATATAGTCGAGCCCGCTTATAACGAACCTGAGCGTGACGTGGCATCCGTTTGCTGTATCCCGAAGTTCATAG